AGCCACAACGGATTTTGAGGCAGCCACACAGCTATGGCGTAATTTGTTCCAAGTAAAGGACACAGTACGAAAAGAGCTTTCGTAATTTTCCTAAATTAAAAAATATAATGAGAAATTTTGCCTCCGGCCTTTAGAACAGAGGATGAAACTGAATGTAAGAGTAGAAAAGTAGTATGTTTGCACATCTACTTCAATTTCAACTTCTCTTTAATGACCGTGGCCTAAAACAATTAATGTGCAATCCAGATAAAGCGTAAAAAAACAAATTTACCCGCAATTTCATGAACAGTTCTCGAAGAACTACGAGAAGGAATAACACGTTTATCTAAATTAAAAACGTTAAGCAGTCAGGCTTTAGATTAAACGGTCATTAGCAGAATGCAGATCAAATGAAGCTTAAATTATGGTAGAATAAGAGTACATGAAACGGCAACTTTTGGCGAGACAAATCTACAAGAGAACGGCAAAACTGGCACAACTATGGGCTGCATAATACATTGGAGTAATAACGTGCTTCCCCACAGCTGACCGATAGGCAAAGAAGTGGCACCTCAAACAGGTTCCCAACAAAAAAACAAAGATTAATATTGCAAAAATAATAAGACATTATTCTTACCACTAGTATGCAGATAATTGGTCCTAGGAAGACGTAATCGAAAATCGAAAACTGGTCCAAACATCTATAAGTGGCTATCCTGCAAATAACGGTGACACTGCAATACTTATACCCGTGGTTTGAATCATATTCAGTTCTCAGAATTGTCGAAATGGCTACTAACACCACTGGAATGCCTAAATAAATGTATGATAATGGCAGTTTGAAGAATTAAGTAGAACAGATAATGATGTTCTCTAAATCACCCTTTAAAAGGCTGTTACATCAAGCTGACTGGCAGTGTTTTATCAAAGGGGTTATTAATCAGAAAATATAGACGAAAGTTGGGGCTCAAATCGATGAATAGAAGACCCACAGGAGAAGGCACAGACGTGGTACAAACGGTGTAGCAGGGTATGTAGTCTTCATGATTCTAGGTCATGTTGTTGTCTGTAACAGCCTTTTTTCTTCCAGAAAGCTTGTCAGAGACTCCCATGGGAATAAATGCATAATTCATAATGATAAATGCATCATTTGAATGAAACAAATTGGAAATTTGCTTAACAATTAGTCAAACAGCAATGAACTAATAAATCCATTCGTACCCCATCCAATCAAAGCAACCATCCAGTATTTGAGATTCTGAGCAAGAAATGTAAACCGAACGTTCATAAATAAGTAGAGTCCTTCAGCGAACATCCAAAAGAAGCCGGCAGTAACGAAAAACTTGAAAAGCACCGTCGCAATAAAGCAGTATGACTAAATCATAAACAAGTGTTTATTATAATCAGCAATGACCTACCATAGTGAGAACCTGGAAGTTGTACAGAAACCCGGTCTGAGAGCTGAGGCGATGGTGCCTCACCACCCTCCAGTAATGTCTGTTCGTCACCAGAACCTCACAAAGCGTTCCGATTTTTTGAACCTGTTTGGCAGAATGAGGGATGAGGAAAATGGAGAACAGTTCGCGATGGTTTGCATTCAAAATGGACTGCGGAACAACCATTCACCAAGCGGATGCTCATGAAAAGGGAAAATTGGAGAAGTGTTGAAGGGCGTTCGTGGCGCCAACAAGCACAAATCGGATTAAGCAACGAACTTCGATGACGTAGTAGAACAGTACCTAAGAGAACGGAATTAAACTCCAGAGGTACCGGTTTTTACTCCGTTCAAAGGGTAACCGTTCACTCAATAAGCCCAACTGGTGATTTGCGAATAATTGGCAGGACATGCAATTCTGGTTTGGTCATACCAAAATATAGGAGTTCGGCAAGACTGTCTGATGTGAGCTCTCTTGCGATTGTACCTCGTTTTGACTCATTTGATAGCTGACTATCCAGTGTAACAACCAGGACAACGTGTATCCTCAATTTCGAATTCGGAAGCTAATGACTAATCATTCCGTCTTAGTCTGCGATCAAACAATTACATTTCAAGACACAACTTCCTTCCCGGGTGTCAGAAGTTCTGCCAGTCTCGCTGTGCACCAATTTGATCGCGTTCGCTTGTAGCCGTGTACAGTACGTGTTTGCGTACACTTGCTCTCAACACATTTATACGAGGATACCCTCATTTCCGTTTCCCAAGCATCCCTTATGCAAATTTGCTCACAACACTTTCCCACGCATGTTACACTTCCTCGCTGTACTGTCACTCGACTCCTGCTAGCTTCGCCCACAATTTCTCATTAAACATCTGCTTCGGCCACACTCTACATTACTTGTTTACTTCACGCACATTCCACGCAAAACATTTACTCCCCGCATAATTGCTTGGATAAACACGTGATCGTCATACACCTGCTCCTCGTTCCTTGATCGCCGAACATTTGCTCCTCGCTTAATTGCACGCTCGCATTTGCGCTATGCACAATTGCTTCGTGCCCAACGATTCGTCATGGCTTCCTGCACATCATTCCTCATGCTCGCCCCCTGAAACTCGTATACCCAACATTTACATTTGCTCGCATACTTGATCGCCACAGATTTTGCCCAGATTGCGGTCTAGGAAGATTCGGTGAGGCTACTGAGGCCGAGACTTCGACAGGAGTCTTTTGTGCGAGTCAGAATCGAACGAAAATTGGACTATGGTCATCTCTCTCAACTGTTGCATTCAACCCACCGCATTACATATTAATAAAATGCACAATACAAAACCACTGTCAAATTTATGAATTTCATAAATCATTCATGTTGTTCTATGTTATAAGTGCGCAAGGACATTGCGACCTGCGACAGCACTTTTAATAAGTTCATAGAAAGTCGAGTTGAAACGGATAAAACGTTTTCCATTTGTTTCAAAAATTTCAAATCAGCGAACATAATTTAATTTAAAATCCGATTTTTCTCTTGGAACAACGACGTGACGCATAAAGAATTACATAGTAAGTTTTTATACGCAATATGTGACATCATTGTGTCATTTCATAGTCGATCGCTAGCCCACGAAAATAAGTAATAATATATCTATTATGATAGTCATTCACAACTGACGTTATTCTTGTGTATGTGTTCCGAGGTTTTTTCGAATTTATTGATGACTGGCAGCAGGTTGCTCTTAGATACGTCGCAGCCATTCTACACTGTACGGAATCCATCCGTTAGTTTCCATTACGGCGGATGTGACGTTCCCAACTCGGTCTGAATTCAGCGATGAGTTACTTCCGCATATTTCTTCCTACGATGCTCGTTGTTGATCACCCTATGACAAACCGACCACAATTGCGGTGGAAACGGTGGCAGGCCTCTTGATTTCCTCAACGACTCATGCGACCGACGTAATTGTCTTCAAAGCACCCAAAAAGCGGCTGCTGATCGCTCGGAAGTTTTTCAGCTAGCCGGTCGATTGCTTCATTAAATGTACAGTGGGTACAAACTCTGATGCTGTAATCATCCTCGCTTTCAGCGCGAAACCAGCATCGGCATTATGAGTACAAAGTAGAGTATCAAAGTAGTGCATGCAGTTCGCCCAAATACTTCTTCACGTTGTTATTCAGATTGTAGAAACATCCATGAAGTTGAACACCTCGGAATCCGTTCTTCACGGCGTGCATCGGCCAATTTCGAAGGCACATGAAATCGAATTTGGATGAAGCTTAGGCACATCTGAAAGAGCATGTTGTACGTCACTGTCCGCTTGTCTGTAACAACAAAATGAACTCCGCCAAACTTTTCTGCCGGCTCTGTATAGACTTGAGGGAACACTGTCAGTGGAGAAATGTTCCGTCAGCAAACCACGTATTCGACTACCTCAAGATCTGCAGGTTTCCCTGAGTGCCAGACACCTAAATTCCATCCGGTCCACTTTCACAGTCAACGGTCAAAAGCGATTCAAAGAAACCTGGTTGCGGTTCATACCTTATATATGATTCCGACAGGATCAGTGTTTCAGATTCATGGAAGCTGGTGTAGCAGCGTTCACTTAACGTTTCTTCGTATTACAATCTTATTGAGTCCTACAAGACTTTAATGTGAACCATGAGCCCTTGGTAACAGTCCAACATCGCTCTCGTTTATAATTTGTGCTGGCGCTTCCATGCTGTCGTCGGCACGTCCTTTGATCTTCGTCACAAATTCTGCCACTTCCACACTTGCTGTCGAACCGGACTATCATGAGAATATTCACCAATCTTCATGACAACAGTTGGACCCCCTGTGTTTATCCTTGCTTTGCATCGACCCCCTGTTCACAGCCCCAAAACTTCTTAGTACGTCAGCACTATTGCTGCCAAAGACAGCAAAAGTCCAGCCTCGTTTTCAAAGCAGCCTTGCGAACACCCTCGATAGACTCAATCGCTGAAGTTTCCAGAACTCCTGTGCAATTCGTGTCCTCAATGTAAGCAGCGATGAAATGTTATAGTGGAACTGATTTGTCCAGATTGTGTCAGTTTACAATGGCTCTGAATCGATGACCTTGCGCCATCTAATATATAAACATGAGGGGAAACGGGAGTTTTGGAAACTCACAAATTTGGCAGCGGATTCGTATTCAGCACTCACTGAACTTTCCATTGATAATATGAGTCACAAAGGTTATCGAATTTGCCATAATGAAATCGTATAGAACGTCAAAGGTTGTTGGGCAGAATCAATCAACTAGCGCATTCCAACCGTCATGAAACAAAACTGTGATTTTAGAAATTCACTAATCTGACAGATTTTCGTACCAACGGAAAGTAATTCATTAATTTGCAAATAGTGAACATATGCTAATATATGCAGTCAAGTCGTGATCGCACTATGCGCGCTGAATAAATGAGTTTTCGGGGTCAGAAAAGTGGAATTATTAAAAAAGCACGAAATTTTTTAAATTAAATTAATTGGCAGGAGTTTCTCATTGTGCACAGTGAGTGCCTCCCAGTTGATACATAACACAATGGGTTAGTTGTGACGGTTGATCGAGATGATTACAGTTCCAGGACGGGACGCTGAAACGACAATCGATCGATGCCGAATCGACTCACTCGGCACAGATTGGCTACTAGCACACTTTCTCCCTGCCAATTGTACGCCTTACCTTTGCATCTGTCCAACGCGTGCCAGACATTTGTCTTTGTCCACTTGCTCAGCATGCACATGCTCGCTGATGATTGGCGTTCAGCCCACTTGTAACCCTTACACTTCAGTGCGCGCTGTTGGCTCGTCCCTCATTCGCACATCGTAAACTTCATCGCAACACCCTCGCTGACCGCTTGCTCCTCGAACACCTGCTGGTCGAAGGTTTACCTCCAGCACGTACGTGGCACAACTTTCCTACAAGGATTTGTGCACGTGGTTGCTCCACGCAGAGTTTCTTGCGCACCGCAGGTTTCCTCCGCACTCACTGGCTTCCCTCAGATTTCCATTTGGCTTCTTTGTTCTTGGCGCACTTACACTCACCGGACATTTGCTGAATAGCACTCATTTGCTGGCACATACTTGTTTGACGCACATTTCATATCCGCAGTCTCCGTGCGCTTACGCCTGTGGTCGCAGGTCGCACTAGGGCTCCAATCAGCACTTTGTCCACTCCGACTTCATAACCGCACATCTCCTCACCATCGCAACTTCATCACGCACATTTGTTTCAGCACAAGCCTGTTGGCGGCAAATTTGCTTCTGGAACTCTACTTCGTGAATATCTCCTCCCCGTCAAATTCTGCTCCGCCACCTTGGTCCCTGCAGACTTGCTCGTCGAGCAATTGGTACCATTTTACATGCTCGGTGCACAGTTCTTCGTCCCATACTGTAAAGTACGCACATTTGTTAGCCGTCCTCTTTGCTCCCTCACACATGCCACATGCTGGTCCTCATGCAAGTGTTCCTCGCACTTGCACCTCGCACATTCGCTAATCACACACCGTTCATCAACGCACATTTGTAAGCCAGCCATCCCGCGAATACTGGCTGGACGTACATATGAAAGCCGCAGACTTCGTCCGTACATATTTCTTAGTGCTGCAGTTACTCTCTCGCCTTTCACTCGCACATTTACTCACCACACTCATAAGCTCCACACATCTCATCCTGTCATACATCGTCGCAGGATATTGGACGCGCATGCTGCCTGCACAACGCCTTCTTGTACCTTTTTTCCTACACCTGCTTAACGCATATTTGTTTGATATGCCGTAGTCCTCATCTACACATATCCATAAATCTACGTTTCGCCTCTGACTTGCTAGTTGCACACTGTCCCCTGTACATTTTCTCCCATACCCATGCTCATCACGTAGCACAGTTATTAACAACCATGCCGTGAGTACCTACCGGCACAATTGCTGTCTCACACACCTGCACGCCAAAGAGTTGTTCCCAGAAAGTTGCTCACCACGCGGTTGATCTATGTGCAATTTTTATATATTTCATACGCTAAAGTGTTGTTGCTGTTCTGTCATCGTCATCTGAGGTCAACAGAACTCAAACCCTTAGAGTAGTGACTCAGATTTTTGATGTCTGACGGCTTGAAACCGTACTTCAGATTGAAATCTCTCTGAATGGTCAGTCTACTGGATATGTCGCAGAGTGTCCTTCCTAGGTGAATGAGAAGATTATGGTCGACACTGGTCACCTGAACCTACCGCGACCAAAACAGCACCCATTGCACTTCTTTCCGCATCTGAATGGGCTAGCTGAAGGGCGGGTAAGGCAAGCTACAGTTCATGAAGGTTGAACTGCCTACGAAGCTCGTCCAATGTATATTACGCCCGG